AAGTGGTGCTGGCTCCTACCCTGGGGGTCTTTAAGACTAGGCTTGACAATCACCTTGCTGGGGTCGTTTGACCCCAGTACTCTTTCCTGCCATGGCAGGGGGTCGGACTCGATGATCTGCTCAGGTCCCTTCTGACCCTAGGAACTATGAAACTATATTTTCTATTCTGGATTTTCCTGTGAAATCTGGAACTTAATATTTGAGCCAGTCAGAATTTTTTTGATGAAATATTTGTTGGACAGAGAAGGATGATTTGTGGAAGCCAAAACTTTTTGCAGTTTGGGCAGAACTTTCTTCAGTCCACAGTGGAATTTCTAGTCAAAGGGGTATGAGAAAAGAGAGAAAATACTATCCCAGCACTCCTAGAGCTGTTGGTTAGAGCACTTACTAGGAAGATGGGAGGCTTATGTTCAAATCTCTGTGCTCTCCCACATCCCAGAGGAGTGCCCAGGGCCCTGATGTCCCCTTGTGTGAATCAGCTTCTCTCTTTCTGTCCTAGAGGCAAATTAAGCCAATGGATTTCAGTAAATTATCCCAGAAGTGCAAAGATAAAAAGAGCCAAAGAAAAGAGCAGGGCCTTGGACAAGTGAATGAAAAGCATGAATAGTTTGAGCCATTTCTCCCCAGCTCTGCTGTGAAGAGAAGGCAGCACTGGGGTGGAATGCAAGTCTGATGCCCAGCCCACTATGGATTCACCAGCTCAGCTGGTCTGTTTGCAGGCTTGCATGGAGATACAAACTATTAACTTGGAGAAGAAGCAACTGATGCAGCAGTGGAACAGCAGTCTGACTGGGATGAAACGACGAGATGAGGCATACACTGCCATGCAGGAAGCACTGAGGTACAGCCTCTGAGTACAGGCCAAGGCCACGAGCAGATGCAGTTTGGTTGGGGGAGAGTCTGAGAGGAGAATATGATTATTATTGGGCATGCAGAGCATTGCTAACCAAAGAGCAGACCTGGTTCATTATAAAGGATCATTATAACAAGGGGTATCACATTTTACTTTTCTTTCCCTTCACATTCACTCCTTAACTGAGCTGCTGTAATGGGTGATTCCCAACTCTAGAATGATCCATCCCTTTCCCTTCTCCTCCTGCAGCTTCCAGCTGTCAGAGGCTTAAGAAGTCCTAATGGGAGGTTGTACCTCTAGCTACTATGTTTAATACCCATAACATTACCTAGCACGGGTTTGGTGGGCAGAAAGGGAAGAAAAGACTCTGAAAAAGACCCTGCCTTTTTAAATACAAATGAGCAGATGGGTTCTCAGTGAGCCCCTTCTCCTGCAGGTCCTACATGACACTGCCTTGTCTCTTTGGTCAGACTAGGCAGAGGCGGGTGGCTATATCATAATTCCTTCTGAGCTAATGGGAAGCTGATGGTAGAGAGTCAGGCAGGGAGGGCCTGCCATCTGTCTCCTAGGGCTAGCCTGAAGCTCTGTGTCCCCCTCTTCTTTGGGCTGATACAAGGCCCTGAGGAAGTTGCATCCTTCCACTCCAGTGCACTGGAGTGGCAGAACTGGCCCTCAAGGAGTTGTTAAAAATGATCAGAAAATAAGTTGAATGTTTTCTTTGCCATAGAAGGACTTTAAGAAGCAGAAGTTGCCCAACACAATGGGTGTGTAGGGTTTGGTCTTTACTTTCCTCTTCACTCATCCATTTGTGGAGCAGCTGGTTTGAACGTGGGAGTTCAGAGGTGCCCGTCTAGCACATACGTTGATCCTTGTGGCACTTTCCTGTCTTCCTCTCACCGTGCAGGCAGTCTAGGCACCAGCTCACATCAATGGAGATGGAGATTGAAATCTACAAAAAGTCCATCACGAAGGAGGAAGAGAGGAACGAGTTGCTGGCTACCATCTTGAACCGCTCTGAAAATGACGCCAACATGAGCAGGAAGCTGATTGCCCAGTGCCTGGCCAAGCAGGATGCCTTGCAAGTGGAATTCAGCACCTACACCCGTGCTTTGCATGAGACAGAGCAAGCCCTGGGCAGGGCCAGCCTGGTGAGCTGTCTCCTGAGGGGAGGAGGAGTCTCCCTTAACCAGGCCCTGATCTGTCCTGTGCCACCTGCTTCCCTCTTAAATCCCAGCAGCCAGCATGTTTTAATAGTTGTTTCTGTGGCTTCTCCCCAGGACCAAGCTACTCGCCTGAATGAACTGGGGATTGTGAAAAAAGAAATAGAGAAGGAGACTGGATGCAAACAGGAAGTGGAGAATGAGATCATGGCAAAGCTGCAGGATCAGTTGATGTCCAGCAAAGCAGCAAAGTATTTCTCGCAGTTGGCTGCAAAACTTCAGATGAGAAAGATGGATCTGGTAGGGCATATCTTCCTGGGGGCCTTGCAGTGGGTGGACACACACACACGTGCACACACTGTCACATACACTCACATGCACACGCACATGTTCTGTGTCTTGTTTCTGTTGTGCTGCAATTGCAGCCTAGCAGTTACTGCACATTGTTATGAATAGCCTGCCCTGTCAAAGACAAAGAACGGAGCATAGTTGACTGTATTCCAACATAGCAGTGGTCCTAGAGCCACCTGCTGCCAGGAGGGTCAGTCAGCACGTTGTCCTTGATTATCTAGCATCCCAGCCAGGTTCCAGCTGGAACAGCCCAGATGCCCTCTTCGATTTCCCTTGCCATTTCAAGTCCCTGCAGGATTCTTCTCCATTTACAGGCACTGACACTAACAGTGCCATGTGCTGTTGAATTCCTAGGTTTCTCTTGAGAAGCAGCTGCATTTCAGCGGCATGTGAAGTGATTCCCCTGTGAACTGTGATCTGTGCCTGGAAAGTACTTTGGGACACTCCAAGGTGAAAGGTGCTCTCAAAATGCCAGGTGTCAGTGTGATGCCTAATCGCATTTCCAGCTTGTGAGGAAGTGTCAGGGTGCTTGGAACATTCCCACAGAGCATAAAAATAGAAGGGCCTGTAGAGCTTCTCTGAATACCTCTCCAGGGGCTGATGTGCTTATTAGCTTTCCTCCCCAACCTCCTCTCAAGGTTCACCTGCAAGTTTTCCAAGGTGGTGTGTAGAATATAGTCAAAAGCATAACAGAAATATCAGTGCCTTTGCTTCCTCCATGAAGAACAGGGCAGAGCCATCCATCCTGGGAAGGGAAGTGGTTCAAACTCTATGCTGCATGCGCCCACATGTCCCCTATGTGTCTGAAGCACAAGCTGTATGGCGCTGTATGGAGATAGAGTGTAGTGCAGTGCTCCACATGAGCCAGCTGCTTCCCATGGACTTCTCCTAGCAGCTGAGCTAGCTCATTTAGAGCTGATGTGGGGCTTTTGGGGCTCCACATTGCAGCATCATGTAGAACAGCCCCAGTCATCAAGTGCAACGTCCTAAAGGTGGCCAAACCAGGGAGCAGGCACTTATGATGTGGCAGTTACTGCCCCCTCACAATTGACAAGTTTGTTGGCATGAAATATGCCAAAAATCTGAGCTGTGCTGCATTTCTCTGTTAAAGATCAGGGCTACGCCATTTTCTGTAAATCAGATGCAGTCCTTGGACTACACACAAGCTGTCTGGACTCCCTAGTAAGAAACAATATGTGCCTGAGACACGTACAAGTGGATCAGCTTCCGTATTAATTTTTATTAGCATCTAAGTTGTCTTGGCTGGAAAAATAACTCCAGAGATGATAAGGATGATAAAACTTTGCCTTAGCATTTTTTTTTGTCAGATCTCAGGATGGCTTACACTCAGTAATGTTTTCCAGTAACCTTGTGAGGTGGCTGGATATTATCTCCATTTTACAGATAGGGAAACACTGGCACTCGTAGTCTACTCGGTGAAGCTGGGAATAGACCCAGTCCTGTCCTTCTGGCACCAGCTCCCTGCTTGCAGCTGCCTTGTCACAGATCTGCTTGCAGCTCACCCAGGGGACTGACTGTTGAGTGACAGTGCTTTGTTTTCTGCTTGTTGCCATTGTCAGGAGATGCATTTTTCCAAAGTTGACAACAACACCGCCCAGGTGGCTCTGGATATAACCCACACCAACTGCCGGCTAAGCACGCTCCAGAAGACGCTCTCTGAGCTGGAAAAGGAAACAAAAACGATCAACGACTTGGTCAGCCACAGTGAGATTGAGATCGCCAAGCGCAACCAGCTGATCGAGCGCAAGCAGGGCATTATCAACCTGTACAACAAGAAAATGGAGACCATGATTTCCCAGCTGGGGGTATGTCCCTTGTGTGGCGGGTGCAGAGATCCCACCTCAGGAACACAGCTGGGTATTCGTATCCCTCCGCTGTTTCCACCACAAGGCGGGCCAGTAGGGGGTGCTCCTGCGTCAAGCCACCCTCCTCCCTGCGCGCCCGACCACCTTCCAGGCTCTGAGTGCCTCCCTAGGGGCGCCTTATGTCTGGCC